ACATTGTGCTATGCGTGTCGGGTGGTATTCGTGAAGAGAGTCCATGCCATCACCTCTTGCATAGCGACTACCACTACACTCCACCACGATCCCACTTCCAATCACATGCCACCCACCTACTTGATCACCTCACACACTACCTCCTCTCCCATTCACCACAACTCAAGCACAAGCAACAGGTGACACATTCAACCGACTGCAATGGTGCTTGCACTCACACTAACCCACACCTCCAAATGTCGTTGCTTTGTGGCAAAACATTGCATCAAGTTGGAGCGTAAACAACCACATGCACTTTGATGTCACATGGTGCAGTCGAGTAGTGTTGCCCTTTGACAATCCACTCACCCACCACATCCACTATTTGGTAAGGCTCAACATGATTCCAATGTTGACACGGCACAACTACTGCCATTTGACGTTCACATTGACATTGGTGATTGACTCATCCCCTACACCTTGTCGTTCCACCGGTAAACAACTACACTATCTTGACAGTTGTCTTTGGCTCGCACTCTATTTCATGCCGCTGTCATCGTTTTTGTCTGATTACGTCAAGTTGATAACCATGCAACGAACCGCCAAACAATCATGTTTGGTAACTCTTAATTATTCCTATCACTAGTTTCATAAATCTATTTTCTTGTTATAGTCCTCCTTTTTACTACCATGTGCCTGTGATCTCATTAAATCCCACCAGCACCGTCATTGCAACCATTCACCATGTTGGGCCGGGACCATCTGCCTCCGCTCTCACCACGTGCTGCTGATCGGAATCTTGATTTACGGTGACTGACCTGAAATTACTAACGAAAGTTCTACCTTTATTTATGCTTGCATGCATTGTCAGATAAACTCTTTAAATTGTAAAAATCTAATTGTCTCAGTTTCGATTTTTGAAAGATTTCAACCGTAGGTCCCAGTATTCCTATGATGATGATTATTATTATAAAAATCCCTTAAGGGTTTGTAATTTGCCACGTAGGATGACTTTGCAAGGCTCTGTTTTTAGTTCCCCTTCTTTCATAATCTCTCGGATTATTTAAGTAGCATAAACACAACAGAGAACTTGAAGGAAGTTCCAAATACGTTTACTTTTAAGCTACTCCAATCTGCTTTTGTAATATGGACTTAAAATGATTATCACAAAGGTGCATAAGTTCTGCACATAATTTGCCACACACAGGTAACTCTTAATAAAAGTAAAAGGATACCTGCACAGAAAAAAGCAATCCAAGTTTCTTGTTTAAGTCAATTAAAGTTTCCACGTTGGATCATCACACCGGCATTACAATTTGAGGTTCCGTAACCGCTGCTTGAATTGGTTCTTCAGCTCCTGGAACTCTGAGTAAACTGGTGCGAGAGAGTAGTGGCCTTGATCCTTCATTTTGCATGAAACCCTTTCACATTTGCAGTGACTCTGTGCCAAAACACATTGTATATGCCTGTCAAATTTATTTCTGTGAATATACACGCATTGCTATCCATTTTAAGACAATGATAAGTGAGTTACTTTTGTAATGGCACTTGGGTAGGATGTCAATTAAAATTGTCGCTTGACGGAAAAAAAAATAAGGACGCACGACGTCTTAAGTGGATTTTAAGTAAAATTTTGTTGTAGAACATCGTTTAGCTCTGGTGAGTGATAAGTCAGTCTGTTCTAGCCTCTTTGATGGTGGTCAAAGATGCAAATCGACTGGTCCGACCAGATGATTAAGCTTTTGAGCCTATAATGATGCGATGAGAATCACCTCTGGGTGGTAGACGTTTTCTAAGGTTCTGACTCACCAAGATCAAAGACAAGAGTGGCGAACATTGACTGTTGGGACCTAAATTTGCCAGCACAGGGACCATCCTCACAACTATTTTTTTTATCTGTCCGGTCTATTCACTGCCCTCCGATGAGTTGCTATGTCTTCGCTTTTTCGGTTCCCATTTTACTACAACTTCAAATCTTAGCTACCGAGTGCCTACGAGACAAGAGTTTTTGTGTTTTGTAGGCGGTTTTCTGAAACTTGTTTTTTTAATCATTTACGTTGATGAGGGGATTGAAAGTTCGTAGGCGTGATGTAATTTGCTATTTTAGGCTCCACCCAACACCGAAGCAATAGAGCAGAAAGATTTTCATTATTTATCGCATCCATTGCCTTTGGATCCCAGAGGTTGTGATGACTAATAAGATGAACTTCTAATTTCGACATTTGCGATTCCACGCTCTAATGCAGTTAATTGAATGCACCTATAGAGAAATTCATGAGCCAATTAAAAACTACGAAGATACAAGCGGTCACCTGATTGGTCAGGTTGTTGGATGCGCGTCACTCGAGTGCGTCATCCTGGTGGCATGTGCGCACGTCCACTTTGTTCCGTCCGAAAATATAGGGGGCGGACCAAATTGTGATCCACCCTATCTTCTTTCTTTCCCTCTTTTCTTAACTGACTGACTGACGAAAGGTCGGTTTGGCTTCGAGTGCGCATGTGGCCTTGAGGGAAGGTAGCGCCACGGCACGAGATAAAGGCCAGTGATTCACGTGCTCCAAGCATAGCACCTCCTCAGCGGCACAAAATGCAAACGCGGGATTCACTTTTTTCTCTCCTCATCCTGAGCTTTGCTGCGGTCTTTCTGCTGTCCATTCCAACCACCCCTCTTCCCCTACGATCCTCAAAGCCTCGTATTAGCACTCAAAAAGCCATTGTAAGTTTGGGTTAGTTATTTGTTTTTATTAGCCAAATGTATTTCTTTGCTTGAATTTAAGCCTTGTGTCACCAAATATGAGTCATCGAAAATCACATCATGTTGTCTGAATTAAATGCTTCACTAGATTGTTAATGGATTAATGGGAAGCTATTTATGTGTTCATTTTTTGGAGAAGGCGCGGTAGTCTATTAAAAAGTGCATTAACATTCATGAGGTGTAAATATGACATATTTACACTTAATTCATGTGGTAATGCGAGCTGACATTTAGCAAAACGACTTAAGTGTCGATGCTGAGGGGCGCATGACACAACGGTGTTTGCCATCTCTTGTCAATTTACAGCGCCTTTTGCACCGATATGGGTATTTGAATCCACCCAAACGTCCAAACATCGCAGATCCTATTCCAACAGTGGGGCGAATATTTCAAAGACATGGGACTGATGAGTATGGAATGACAGACCCAAACATCCTTTACCACAATGCCTTAAAAGCCTTCCAAAGTCGCTATTCCCTCCCTGTCACGGGTAGACTGGATGCATTAACCATGGAACTACTGGCTGCTCCCCGATGCGGAAATCCCGACATCGATCCTGGCGACAGTGTCGTCCAATCGGAAAGGAGGCCAAGTCGGGTGAAGCGGTACCTCATTGGTGACCCGAAAATGCGGTGGACTAAAAAAAAACTGACATGGCAGTAAGTTGACGGCTGTGATGACTCCCTTTTTTTGCTGATTCTAAAGCCTTAGGTTAAATTTGAACGTTATCATGAGGTGGTGACACGATGCCAACAGCCACACCGCAATTATTTAGGTAAGGCAGGTCGTGACATCACTAGAAACCAGTGTCTGTGGGGAAAGCTTCCTATCATCAGCCATTTTTTCATCGTGATTAGGCGTAGTTATTAGAAATTCGTCTTATCTGCCCAGTCTTTTGCGTCTGGAAGCAAGGAAATGAAATACCTATACATTCCCAACTTCCAGCATGTGATCGTACGATCCTCAAATGTCAGTGCCATTAAAAGGTGATAGTTACCTCTTGCAGGGACAGCACTAGACAGATGCAGAGTAAGGAAAGGGGAGACATTATTGCTCAGTCTTCTCATTCTCGAATGCGATCTTCTAACGCTTAAAGTGGTTTGTAAAAGTAGAATGTGATTTTCACATGGTCTAACTGTTCATGTCTTTCTAGAGGCGCCTTCATCACACACACACACGTACATAACCCTTTGAGTATTTCATTTCACGATGCAGTCCACCCTAAACACATCCACATACAACGCCCCCGCAAACACACTCTTACAAAGCTGGAGTTTAGTCATTCTGTGAAGGAGTAGGAAGTGTGAACTGGTTGGTGGGTGGATAAATTTTAGGATTGCCATCAATTACATTGCTGATCGAGGACATTAGAAAAGGCAATTCTCATGACTGGCAAGTAATGAGTCAGTCGGTCAGCCGGTGAATCAGTTAACAAACAAAGGAAGTACACAGTATATTCTTATAGTTTCGATGATAGGCCTCTCAATTTCACTCTATGTTGGCGACACAAAGTCAGCATCACCTTCCCTTGGGTACTTGACTCATAGGAAATGCCGTAAACTTTACTCCGTATTAAGTGTCTTCAGATATTATCACGTCATTCAGTAGGAAGATGCAATTCTTTGCAATCCGACCACTGAAAAGAGTGATCAGCTCTTCTCCACGTAGTGCACTGCCCAATTTGGGGCTTTACTGGCAGCTGCTCCACTCCACTGGCACAAATTGAATGGGACGGTGACACGTCTCCTCCATCTCTAGACCAGGCAGTAACGTCGGCAAACCACTCAGTGGTAGATACCTGAGAGACCGATGATGGTTAGCATTGGATAGACTGCCGCATTCTCCTTCATACTAAAATTGCAATTCCTTGCACCGCAAAACATACAATTTGTGTGTGTGTGTTTCGACTGTCTGACGAGTCTAGACGATGTTTACAAACACCAAATTTGCCTTGTAGATTTATCCGCGATTAAATCGGAGGAATGCTTGAGGTTATGAACTGGCATTTAATTTCAAAAGTAGGTTTTACATTCCCTTCTAGAATTCACAGCTATCCCACTCATCACCTAAATCGCTCGCAGACACATGCTGTCTTTCAGCACGCATTCAATAAGTGGTCCAGCGTAGCTGATTTAGATTTTGTTGAAGAAAAGAACTACTACAAGGACTCGGATATTATCATCAAATTTGGCTCTCGTCGACACGGTGATTCCATCGCTTTTGACGGACCCGGTATGTCAACACATTGGATTTTTTTACTGATCAATTTTGTTGCTTAAAGTCAAGACGACCTCTTTGTGATTGCAAGTCGATGCAAT